AATAATTCGATCACATCAATTAAATAAAAAAAGAAAAAAAATAAAGAAAACAAAATTTAATCCTTTTCATCGATTTATATCCTGAAAAATTATATCCTGAGGGAATATAAAAAAACAAAGATTCAAATATTTAATTATATCCTTTTAAAAAATCTCGACGAATAACCTGCGTCAAATATTTCTGTAAATAATAATAATAATAATAATAATAACATTCGAAAACATAGAAAACGAAAAATAAAATTTTGTTTTTTTTTTTTTTACATTTCCGGTTTTTTGTAAAAGTTTACACCCTTTATAAATGACGTCATTTAAACATTAAATCACGTTTAATTATTTCCGTTTTGTCTGGTTGTACGTTGTACAAAATTTCAAATAATTTTCCTTTTTTTTTTAAAATTCAAAAGGGTTATCGTGGTTCCTTCCCTAATGTGTAAAACATATATAACCGGAAAAATAAATGAAAACTTTATCAGGAATTTTCATTTTATACACTCCTGATAAGAGATTTGTTTTTGTTTATTGTAAACGTTTCGGTACGTTTTATTTTTTTTTTTTGCCTTCGGGTAAAAAATTTTTCAGGTAGCAACATTTATAATTATTATTATTTTTTATTTGTTACATAAGTAATATTAGATAAAATCGTTAGGGATTAGTTTAAATCACATATTTAACCCACACGCGTGTGTGTGCCATTCACAAAACGTTACAAACAATTTTTTTTCTTTTTTTTAATAATAATATTACGTAATAATTTTAAAAAAAAAAAAAAAACTTGTAATTTTTTCGGTTTGGTTTCAATTGCTTATCAACCTTTCGCTTTTTTTTTTATCTCTCTCTCTCTCACTCACACACACACACGATATATTGATTTAGTTTGTTAGTCGTGATATTATTTATTTGCTACCGATTTTATTAAAATTTTCGTAATGATTTTCTTGTTTTTAATAAATAACCTTCGGGGGGTAAAAAAAAAAATTTTTTTTTTTTTTTTCAAATTAATTCGAAACTTGTGTGTGAAAAAAATAATAAAATTTTTATCATTTTATTATTATCAAATCATTTGTGCACAAAACATTTAAAACAAATTTTTTTTTAATACATAAAGGATCGTTTTATCATCATCATCATCATCATTATTATCATTACCATTTTTTATTAATTTTTTTTTCATTTTTTTATTGTAAAAAAAAAAAAAAAATTTTTTAGGTAAGAACGAACCGGTATTTATTTAAATCATTTATCCAATTCGTTACGCCTACTATCGGGTTTTTAACCCCCCCCCCATCTTTCACCTCCTCGCCCCCCCCCCGAGGAGGTTACGTACTCGATAATTTTTTTTTTTCTCAGCAACTGTAAATTTTTTTTTTTTTAATAAAATTTTTATTAAAAAAAAAAAAAGTAAAAGTTTTTCCCATACCGACCCCGTAATAATTTTTTAATTTTTTTTTTCTCGAATGCCCCCCTTCTCCTCCCTTCTTTCCCTTTCTCCCTCACACGAACTATAAATTAATTTTTATCCTTTCATTTCGTTCGAAAAGAAAAAGAAAATTTGCAAAAAATCGCACGTGATTTTATTATGTAAATATAATAATATTAATGATTGGAATAAAGGGGGCGGAAGATGAGTGGGGGGCACCCGGGGGGGGGAGAGAGTTAGAATCGTTAAAATAATTTCCAGTTAAAAGTTTTTGTTGTTGATTTAAAAACTTTTCCTCCCTAAAACTCAGCCAACAAAAACAAAAAAAAAAAAATTGTATTTTATTATTTTAATATAAAACGTGACCCAAATATACTACGAAATAAATATAAATAATTATACAGTGATAATGATAATGATAATAATAATAATTTCGGTTGGGTTTATTTTTCGTTGATAAGTTAACACTTTGAAAACCTTTCGAAAACCTTGGAAAAAAAAAAAAAAATTTCTACGTGGAAACGGTTAAAAAAAAATACGTTATTATAAATTGCGTAAAAAAACGATATAAAAATTTATCATTATCATCATCATCATCATCATTATTATTATTATTATTATTATTTGAATAATAGGTTATGAAAAAAAAAACGTAACCTTTGGGTAAAAGGAAAAAACTTTAATGAGTATTTAAAAAAGTAGAGAAAATTCCAAACCTTTTTTTTCCAAAACGTAACGTGATAAATGATAAGAAAAATTTTTCGAATTCGAAAGTTTTCTTTTAATAAAAAATTTGTTTTAAAATCGAAAATCGATAAAAATTTAATAATAATAATAATAATAATGATAATAATAATATTAATAATAATAATAAATAAATAAGTTTTTTTTTTTTTTACTCCACCACTTTCTACATTTTTTAAATTTAATGTTTGATGATGATGATAATGATTAGATTTTCTTATACTCAAATCTCATTGTTTATTAATTATTATCATTATCATTATTATCATTATCATCGATAAATATAAAAAGACCTTGAAACCTAATTACATTACGTGAGTAATATAAAATCGATTTAAACCGTATAAAATTTATTGAAAAAACGAAAAAAAAGTGAAAACTTGAAGATATTGATTAAGTACGAAAAAAATTCGTATCCATTTATTATCATCATTATCATTATCATTATCATTCATTATTATTATCCTCGTAAAAAAAAAAAAAAAAACGATGTTGAATCCATTTGCAAAAAAAAAAAAAAAAAAAAAAAAATTATAAATCGCGGTTAAGCGGTCAAAAAATTATTTTGCCACATTTGAGTTTATTTTAAACAAAAAAAAACAATTTTTTTTTTTTTTTTTTCATCAACACTTTTTAAACTAACAATTTGTCGTTTTATTATCCTTTTTCCATTCAAAAAGAAAACAAACAACAACAATAACAACAACAACAACAACAACAATAATAATAATAATGAT